CTCAGTGTGCACCTTCCTATCACTCCGGCCTGCCACCGCGGACCGGAGTGCAGCTCGGCCACGCTACAGGGGAGGGGAGGGGAGAAGCTGCAGCCGCCTGACCGCTCTTAACAGAGCACTCAGGCGGCTGCAGTATTTAAAGGGCCGGCCCTGCAGCGGCCGGTCTTACAGGAATTTAGGGCGGCCTGGGGGGCAATTGCCTCCCTGCCCCCCGGCCCAGCCCGCCCCTGGCAGTGAGAGGAGCAGGGCCGCCGGACCGGGGAAGCTGCCACCCGGCTCCAGCCAGGAACGCGGCCGGCCCCCAGGTGCCGCGGCCCACCGGGAAATTTCCCGGTATCCCGGTGGGCCAGTCCGGCCCTGCAGTTGCCTCTATGATCAATAGGTTAAACCTGGGCTGTTGCACTAGGCTCGGGTTAGAGAGGCTTGCATCCCCTTTCACAGACACCTAGGTCGGTAATATCATCTGTTTTTTCCTTGGGTTATAAGGGGGAGTTGGGGGGAGGGAGGGAGAACAGGTAGAAGTGATGTAATTTATGCATATAGCAATCGAGAGGACATGCAAATATTCCAAAGTATTAAAGGAGTTTAAGCATGCATGGGATAGGCATAAGGTGATTGAGTGGGAAAGATTTTATGTAAACTAACTGGTGTATCGAGTGCACGAAACAAAGATATGCAAACATATTTATCTGACACCATAAGCAAGGGGGTAGAACCCACAGTAGCTAAAACACTAGACAGTCTAATTACACAAAATTAATTATTTTTAGCTCTAAAACCTATGAAACCAGGTAAAGCACCTGGGCCAGACTCATTATCGGCATATATTACTATTCTTCCAAAAGAAGGGAAAAATTTAGTCATTTAGTAGCTACAGACCTATATCCTTGCTGAACCTGGATATAAAGCTGTTTTCAAAGGTTTTAGCAGCAAGGATGCAGGTTTGTGTTGGGGATCTAGTCCACCCGCATCAAAGTGGCTTTATTCCATGAAGGGAAGCAAGGGGTAATATCTACTGAGTATATAATATTATACATCTGGCAAAAAAAGAGAAACACCCACTAATTTTACTATCTACAGATGCAGATAGTAATGACCGGGTGGACTGGATATGCATGAAACGAATGGGATTTGGGAAAAATATAAGGCAGTGGATAAGATCACTATATACCATCCAAAATGCTAGGAT